GATATATATATTAAAAGACAAGAAAATCAACTCTGCTCACTATTAAAAAAAATACTAAATCCACCTTTTATGTTTCCAGAGAGAAAGAGAAGGGGGGGAGGTGGGAGAAAAACAAATTAAAATGAAAAAAATAACAGGAAAATCAAAACCTTCTGTCTCTTCAAAGTAGTTGTCAAGAGCTTTAAACGCTTGTGCTTTCAGTGTACACCCCACAGGAAAAACAACAAAAATAACAAAAACCAAAAACCCAAGGACCTAAAATTAAAAACCAAAAAAGGTAATAATAATCCTAGTAGTAAAAAGGACAGCAAATTGCTCAGAGTTTGTGTGTCTTTTTAGTTATTTTAGCAGCCGCCCTTTTTGTCTGCAGAGGGAGAGCTGCCACCACAGCCACCTCCTCGGCTCGAGAGAGGCTCTTCTGCATCGTCCTCGTCAAAGCCATGAAAGGTCGAGGTGTCGCTTTCTGACGTGGAACCGAACAAGTCCTCCGTAGTGCGTGCTGGCGCTGCTTCGTCCCTCCTGCCTTCTCTTCCCAAATGAGCTGACATGTATGATGAATATATCAGCACATGGGTTAAGCAACAGGCATCATCATCATAATTTTTTTAATCATCATTATTATTAAACAATTCAGACTATCGAGCTCATAGGTGTGTGCTTGTATGTGCCCGCGCACCTCAACAACATAGCTTGGTAGAACTGCAGTAAGAAAAATAAAAAAGGATCAGTTTCTCTTTCAAAGAAAAAAAGTCTACAAACAACACAGGTGCCCATAGCTATGGCAGCGAAAGGGTTAATCATGTTTTCCTCTCTTCAAAAGACATTAAAATATTTCCTTGTGATTACTCAGATCAATTTTAAAATATTTTTAAACCATATAAATAATTAGACACCATTAGTTCTAAGCACAATGACTGTCCTTCAGACTGGCACCAAATGCCACAAATTTACTGCTATAGAAATGTAACCCATTAGATAGCTCATCAACCTCAGGACTATTTTTTCGCCCTGTCCTTCACCTGATCCTAAAGAGCCTCCTCTGCAGACAAAATGAAATACATTTTGAAGACTAAGTGAAAGTAACCTAAACAAATGCTTTTATTCCAATTTCATGGCATGTCCTTCAAAAGTAAAAGACCCCAAAACAAATATATACAGTTCCACAACTAAAAATACTAAGATGAGAAGTGACCTGTCTTGGGGAGCACTGAAAAGTTCAAATGTGTGTGAGTCAATCCAACTTTCAATATGGAACAGGAAATTCTCCACACAGGACATCAATAGCAGCAGCAGCAGCAACAACAACAAAAAGAAGACTCTTAAAAACAGAAGTCAAATACTGAAATCTGTGAAACTGAGGTTTATTTTCTCCCTCAATCAAGCAGGTTATGTGATTAATAGTACAGCCTTCAAATTCCCTCTTCAGGAAAGGTAGAGAAAAAGATGTCTCTTGTGCCCCAGCAAAATCGAAGTGTGTGATTTTAGGGAACGGCTATTTTATTATTCAGAAACAGTAGCATGGTATTAAGTAACCAACTGTTTGGTGCCCACTCCAGCTACAGGAATCAGCCATATAACAAGTACACTGCATTGCTTGAGACACGCAGAATTAAATCCTGTTCACAAAAAGAAAATGGATATAGCAAAATAATTGGCAGATGAACCACCTTGTAGAGATGTGATTTTACTGACTATGTGAATGGAAGAAACAATATAATTTCCATGACCTCTCTTTCAGTATAATGAAAACATTCTCCATTATCAAGGAAGAGAAAGATGGCAGCCACCATCTTTCAGATTAGTGTGTGGTTGTACCTTAATCACTTTCATCACACATCAGTCACAGCATTGTAGACCCCTATGAATGACCCAGGTGGGTCAGAATTTGTACAAGGATAACATTTAATGGAACTGATTTTGCACAATTTAGGTTACATGTCAATCTACTTGTTCTATCACACTAAGGAATCAAGGGAATTAGTGCATTTGTGTTATATTCGGATATAATCACCATAGCAATGTTTAAATAACAAAAAAATATGGATCCATCTCACTGTGCCGTATCAGGACAATGCTGAAATGGATTATGTTGAACTGTAACAACCAAGGGGAAGAGCAATGATCTTCCAAGATGGCACCACAGACCCCATGAGCTTCCCCCTTCAGTTATCAAGAAGCAAACACATATACACTAAAAGGTCTATGCCCCTGACTGCACAGCATTCATAAGGATGCCCCTGGAGAAAACCAAAGGGGTTGCCATCGGTCCTCTGGTGACCAGTCAGTATCACTTCAGAATATCTTCAGAGGTCACAACAACTGCAGAAGGCAATTTGTTAGTGAGAGCCTAGTCCTGCTCCCACTGAATGTGGTAAGAGGCTTACTGCAGGAGTACAAAAAGGCCATTCCCTTGGCACAAGAACACTCCACATCACAGTTTCAGCCATCACGCAACAGACATCTTTCAGTGACTACAGTATAGAAGGAGCAGCAGGTCTCTTTAGTTTTCAGATTTCCATAAAATGGTCTTGTCACCACTCGTATCACCACTGTCCAGAAATATCACAACTGGAAACTTGGACCAAAGCTGGAATATGTAGTTGTTACAGGTCTCCCATTCCCTCTACCACCACCACCACCTCCCACGCAAGCTATAAATAGCTGCTCAGCTGGGACAAAATTTCCCAAAAATAAGAAGAAAAAAAGAAGAAAAAAGAAAGAAAAAGAAAGGAAGGAAGAAAACAACAGTCCAGAAATAAAGACAACTCAGAATGGGAAAGACACAATTGCCTACATTTAAAAAGACAGAAGGGAAGAAAACGGAGAAATAAAAACCTCTTTAAACAAAATTAATGATAGTCATCTTGTAAGAGGATAATTCTTGACAGCTACCCCCATCCCTACCCTGTAATTTCCTCCCTCCTTCTTTTTTGGATTAAGAAATGCATGAAATGTGTAATCAATGGAAATGCTTGTCATGCAACTTTCATAAATCTTGTAAGTAATTTATAGTTGTAATTGCAGCATTTAAAGACAGAGACCATTCTTTAACATTGTCATAGGATTTTCTCCTTCCATTTGAAGAACAACTAGGACATGTACCAATGTTCATGGAAGCCAATAAATACATTAAAACTTTATTATTTTGTAAAACCCCATTAGCTTAAAAACGTGAATCCAACAATGGGTTTTATGACAGAAAATTTCGCAGTCATCCTTTCCCATAAACACAGACAAGAGGCAAGATTTCGTCTTCTATCCCCTCCCAAATGTGCTGCCTTTCTTCAAATCTTCAGAAGGAGCAAAAAACGAATCACACAAATGCCTTTGTACAAGAAAGATGCAAGAAGGAGTCACCTACCAGAGCGCCCACAGTCTGAGCATGATACAAGTTCCTCAGGCCGGCCACTTTTTTTGTTCATATTGGAGCCTCCGAGGCAGAAGTCACAGTAGTTATTGGGAATGATGACCCCGTCTGGTCCTTTCTGGGCTGCAGTTGGGTTAGAAATCAGATTTACTTAAAGAGCATTCAGTTTGGACATTTCCCCCTTCTCCTTGATATGATGTTAGCTTGGTGAGTTTGCAAGTCACAGTCTTCCCAAAATATTGTCATTCAGAACAAAAAGTTTACTGTATAAATCACCTCCATTTTAAGTACACCCTGTGTTGTATTTATTTTGCCTGAAATGCACTTCACCATTTCCTTTATAATGCCAGCTGGGCTAGTCCCTCACAAGGACCTGTTGCCAGATATCCCTGTACAGTTCAGGGACTTCGTAACATGTACAGGTATAGAAAAAATCCTTAGTGTAGAATCAGACCTACGCTGTCAGTAAGCCAAGCCTGGTTTTTCAGCCAGCAGTCATAATCGTAAACCCACAAACTACAACTTCAGAAAGGAAAACTACATTCCCCGAAACTCAAAAACCAACGGCAGGGAGATGGGGGGATAGGTACCCTAACTGGTTTTATTTCAAGTAGCTTTTTGCACGATTACATCTCAAAGTGGCAGAGTGTCCCCTTAGTCAAGAAGTTGGTTCAAATGCCCATGAATATTCACAGACAAAGCCATTTGTGGGTGCTTGACCCAAGGGTTAAGCTACCTGCAAGCACAGTGCATGTCCCCTGGGAGGAGTGGGGAGGGCAGCAGGTTCAGCACCACCTCAGCACCCAGCACAGATGCCAAGAGTCAGCCCGGGGCAGACATCCCAGCCAGCAGAGTTAAGAACTCATTCAGCCAAGAAAAAAGGAGGGAAATTATATTCTTATTTTCCAGCTAGGAACAGTTGGAAAGGAACAGACACACACTGGGTCTTAAGTAGAGGAAGAGGCAGTTCCCCTAGAAACGAGAGAAGGGCAGAGGACTTCTGCATTCCTCTTAGTTGAGCAGAAGAGAAATGAGCTTTTTTTCCTGACTCACAACTGCCATTTTCTTCCTCTGCTCTCCAGAAATGAAAATCTTCTTGTTCCTGTACACTCTAACTAGAAGCTGGGGAAGGGAGAGGGGAGTGGAGGGAATGGTTGGTCTTTGTTTCTCCCTTTTCAACTTAAAAATTCCAGTGGTATACCTGACCTAAGCCTACCCCATCAAGATTCCTACAAACTAGAAAATTAAGACCTTTAAACTGTACCATCTATATTTAATTATCTTTTTAATGCATATTTTGTAACTTGAAGATTTTTAACAGATGTTTTGACAGCCTTTATTAATAGTCTTTTTCTCCACATCCAAATTTCCCCTAAAGAACAATGACATTGTAAAGGGCTTCTGGTAGCAGTCCAAGACATACACTTAAAATTAAAATTTCCTCTGAGTTCAATCTGCTTTCCTAGTTTGGGTGCATCTAGTTATTCACTTACTTCCAGCTGTTGATTAGCTGAGCTTTTTGGAGATTGGTAACTGAAAGACTGCAGGTAAGGTGAAATTAAGAAAAAAATTGCAGCCATAAGGCTACAAATACATCAATACCTTCCTGCATGGCAGCTGAGTCCCGGAGAGTATTTACTAAACAACAGACTTTGCTCTGAAATGGTCCTGGTTAGCAGATCCCCAGTTCTCCCAAAACTAGAGAAGCTCCCAGTGTTATGTTAGCATTTTGCCTGTTCACAGAGAGGCATTTAATACATGCATGCAAGATAAGCAAAAAAAAAACCCCAGGAACCAGGTGAAAGCCTAGCGCACTGGCTCATTTTAAGAGCTGTAACAAAATGATCATAAAGTTGTTACTTGTACATATTTTGTGTATAAAAAGCAGATCTCCCTAGCATTTATTTTTCCCACTACAGCCCCATTTTGAAAAAGTTAAGTAATTACTTCTTTATATCATGCTGCATCTACAGACAGGCCATGTGCAACGCAAACTCAGCAAGCTCAGCGTTCAGTGGGGGTTTTTTTAATTCCTTATTACACTGCTTTACCTTTCATCCGAGTTTCTTAAAGTGCCTTAGAGATACTAAGATCCTAATATTAACCGTCAGTGAGGTCAAAAGCATCTTTTGCCATTGACTCTAACCAAAGTGTTGCGGGGCCCTAATTAAGTCTCATGGTGAGGAGGCTGCATTGCATTTTACAGCTGAAAGCCCAGGACGTAGAGTGATGAACTGGCTTACTCACAAACACACGACGATTCTGTGGCGAGGCCACAAATACAAACAAGCATTCAAGGTGCTGGCCAGCGGACTTAGGAAAGAGCTCCACTTCTACTACCGCTCAGAATGGCATAATTGATTTAATACTCCACATACACTGACTTAAATTTTTCCAATGCAGCTTATGACCCTAAGATCCACTGACTGTCAAACTGGGACAGGGGACCCTGTGAAAATACATATACTGATCAATTCGCCTGCAGTGTGAGGGACTGGTGGAGGGTATTTGCTGACTGCGATGAAGCTGAAGGAATTTTCCTAGACTACTGGCAAGGGAATAAGCATGGGGTTTGATCACCTCCTCTTTTCTCTTTTCTTTTCTTTCAATTTAATTTAATTTTTAATGTGACTGCCTATGTGCTCATTTATTGCTTGTCACTCATAAATACGGACCTGGCTCAGTTGAGTGTGATACAGATATCAGGCCTGAAGTCATACACAGATGAGAAGTTCCTGAAGTTGTACCAATGACATCTTAAATGATGGATCTCTAGAGCCAAATAAGCCAAGCAATGTTTTTCTCTTCAATTGCTTTTTGTTCTAACAGGTGCAAAAACTAGAATCAAACCCAACTCAAGCTTATTTTCTTGATCAGTATTGTACAGTGAATTCAGCCCCAGGCTAAATCACAGAAGGTTTGAGAATAAAGAGATTTCCAGATGATAGTAAGCAGAGTTCTTTCTTTCAAATGATTTTTTTTGTGTGTACATCCTTGGAATTTTTAGTTCTATTTTACTGTAGTTCACAAATGATGAGGGAATTAAGAAGCAAAGCAAAGACAGCAAGATATAACCTGCAATATTCATGAGGGGTATCATGCACCAAAAACCCAACCCTAATCCCACCCCTTAATCAATAAAATTACTTACAAAAGTAAGTATGGGAAGGGATTCACAAGTGAAAGCAATTAAATTACAAGGGATTAATGTGTTGCTGCTTTTCATCAGAGAGATAGTAATTAACTAGGTATCCACTTTTTGCACACATTAATCACAAAGTAGAAGGTGCTAGCTTAAGCCAGACATGAGCTCAGCTAACAAGAAGTAACTCGCTAGCAGTGAGCTCAATCATTTGCATTGGGTGACTACAACCAAGATTTTGCCTAAAAAAACTTCACCCAGAACCAGAAACTGTTTTAAAGCAAAGCCTTGAAAACCAGCCATGGTCTGGTCCTAACTTACTCAAAACTCCTCTGATTTTCTTTTACATTACAAACTGCAACAACAGATCCAAAGCACTGAGGAGCTTTGAGGAGTACTGCCTGAGCTAAGGTGTGCTCACAGGGGATGTGTTTAAATCAGCGCCTCTTGCCATTTCAACTCAGTGAAGCTTTCTAGTTTCACCAAAGGCCACATCTTCATCTACATCTGCCCCAAAATAAATAGCGTATGGAATTTTTTAAAATATTTTTAAAAATTGGGTTTAGGAGAGACACAGAAAGATCTGCACAGTTCAAATGATAGTTTCTCTGTATCTGGAAGCTGATTCATGTGAAGACAGGATGCAGGTTGAGAATGAAGTTGATATTTCCAAATAACTTTGGTATGCGCTTATTCTGAAATATTTTTTTTCTTCTTAGCTTAATCAAGTTAATTTCAAACTATAACAAGCTAAGCAGAATAAAGACCTACTAAAGACCTACTAAAATAATAAAGACCTACTTAAAGTAGCATCATTGACAAGAGTCTTCTTGCAAAATAAGTACAGTAAATTAAATAAACTCTGTAGTAGATCACACAGTAACTTTGTTCTGTAGACAAAACCTGAAAAGTTGAACAAATTGACTGAGTTTGTTATTTAAAATAACTTCTGTGCCTTCTTGATTTTGAAGGCAGGGGCTCTAAAGAGAGTTCTAGTTTCCCTTTTCCCGTCCCCAAGTAATCAAAAAACCTGGAAGTTATCTTCTTCATGGTTTCAGTTTAATAATAAAAGAAAGCTGGTCCTAGAGAAATAACATCAAGAAATTAGGATTTTTCTTTTCCACATCATCTCTTGGAGCCACATGACTCAGTAAGAATCTCAGTTTTCTAACTCTCATGGCTGCAGAGAATATCTTGAATGGAAGGCAAGTTCAGAAGCAGCAATTCTTGTCCCTATTTTTTAATCAGAAAACTCAGCATATAGAAATTTTAAATAGCTTTCCTTCAAAATGTGACCCTTAAATACATAGAGACAAAACCCAAAATAAATAGAACTGTGTAGTTTTTTCAATTTTCTGATTTCTAAGTGAAGTTATTTTGATTATTTGGATCACGATCTATAAAAACTTGGGGTTAGAACCAGTGCTTACAAGAAAAACTGGTTTCTCTGTTCCTTGGTAGGAACAGTCACATATATTTCTTCAGCCTGTAGGTAATACAGCATAATACTTAACCATAGTTTAAGCTGTGCATCTAAGTTTGGTAGCATTTTATCCCTATTTTATATCGTATCCACACTACTAGAAAGGCAGTGGAGAATGAGGAGTAGAGTGTGTGCCTTGCTGTTGGGGTGGGGGACTGTACATCATTTATTTAAATGATTACAGTGAATTGGCTACAGTTGGACATATATGTGCTCCCAAAGGGATTTTTCCTAGCACATTTTGTCCAGCTCTTACCTGTTTCTTCTGGGCTTGATCCAAAACCAATAAAGTCCACTGGAGGTTTTCAATTGAATTCGAAAGGCTTTGAATCAGGCCATTTACTCTGTTTGCAACAAAAATTTGCAGAGCACAATAGAGACCACGGGAACCTGCGTATAGGCCTGAATCAAGTCAATGCACTTTGTGATGGAGAAAAAGGGGTGGATTTGCTTTTTTTGTTTGTTTTGGTTTGGTGTTTTTTTTTTTTAAATCTGCAA